TCCTAAGAGTCTAAAGCTTGGGAACTTCCAGTTCATCCAGTTCATATCCTAAGTTTATTTAATGATTCCAAGTAGATTCCCTCTCATCTTCCTGAGCTAGTTACCTTAGCTTGTCTACTTGCAGCATCGTCTCTATGCCTTTTGTTGAGTTAGTTGCTTTTTTTTCTGGGTATTTCTTAATATGGTGATCTGTCACACATAGTATTTAGGTGTAAGGAGGTGATGCCAATGCTTTCTGATTGATTTTTAATCTCCTTCTCAATGATGCCTTGCCATTTGCTGGCCTTTTTATTTAATAAATTTGTTTCATGAACTGGTTCCTGTGAGGCAACCATAAGTCCTGTGGATTGGATGGCTTTCATTTTCTAAACTTTTAATCTAAAGTGGGGAAAAACGTCTATTTAACAGGCATGTATTCTGTCAGGCACTGTGTATGATTCTAGAAACTTAAAGATGAATGAAGACTGTCTCTGACCTCCAGGAACTCAGAATCTAGTAGGATAATTCAAATTGGGTTTTTTTTTTAATGACATAAATATTTTTTAAGTCTACTTTTAAAAATATTGGTTCAATTTCATTTCCAGTCCTTATCCATATGCATAACCTGTGTACATTAACATTTATAGAACACTCCACCCAACAATAGGGTATACATTCTTTTCAAAGAGCACCCAGAACATTTACTAAGGCATATTTACTAAGGTAGTCCATATTCCAGATCATAAAACAATTCTCAATAAAGGCAAAAAAGATTCAAGTCATATAAGTTTTCTCCAGGTATATCTGACCACAGTGGAATTAAACTAGAAATCAGGGACTTCCCTGGTGGTCCAGTGGTTATGACTCCACATTTTCACTGCCAAGGACCCTGGTTCAATCCCTGGTCAGGGAATTAAGATCCCACAAGCTGCACAAAAACAAACAAACAAAAAACCAGAAACATCTTTGGAAAATCCCCCAATATATGGAAATTTTGAATAATACACTTCTATATAACCCATGGGTCAATGAAGAATTCCAAAGGAAAATTAGATAATGTTTTCTATTTTAGTTTATAAATTTAAATGTTTATAAAAGTACAAAATCACATTTTTGAAGATTGGAGTTCTTTTTGTGGGAAGATTTTTAACTAAAAATTCCATTTCTTTATAAATATACAGCTTTTCAGGTCGATCTTTGTTGCTAAGTGCAGGCTTTCTCTAGTTGCGGCGAGCGGGGGCTACTCTTTGTTACGGTGCGTGGGCTTCTCATTGCGGTGGCTTCTCTTGTTGCGGAGCTCTAAAGCACAGGCTCAGTAGTTGTGGCGCATGGACTTAGTTGCTCCGTGGCATGTGGGATCTTCCCAGGCCAGGGCTTGAACCCGTGTCCCCTGCATTGGCAGCCGGATTCTTAACCACTGCGCCACCAGGGAAGCCCCCCATCTGTTTATTTTTGAGTGAAACTTGTTAGTTTGGGTTTCAAGGAATTTTTCCATTTTACCTAATATGTTAAATGAGTCGTGTTGTCCTACTATTCCCTTAGTGAAAATGACACAAATAGTTATCGCTGTGCATGCTCCAGGACAGAGGAAGGCACAGCTAATTTTTGTGGGCTACCAAGAAGGATCAGAAAATCCTCCTCCGTTTTACACTACATGAAAGTGTAATTCCCAACTCTTTTTGCAGCACTGAAAATATAAAATAACAAGAAGGTACAAGTCTGTAATTGTCTTTGAGCTCCAGTTCAATTTAAGCCATGTCCTCTTAACCACTCTCTCGAAATGCATTAGTTTTCTTTAACTGCCCAAGAAATGGGAACATTTATTTTTCCTTGCAAATTCTCCCGAAGCTCTGGTCTGTTGACCCGTGGCAGTCCAAAATGATTGGTCTGTAAATAGCATTTTAAACTAAACATGTAAATCTCATACAGTGGCATCACACATAGTTTCTGCTTTGCTTTTATGGAAAATAAGTCTTTGAAGAAGAGCCTAGTAGCTCAGCATGAATTTCATGACCTGCATTTCTTAGTAGCTACTTCGCCTTTAGCATCTTTCTGCTTGATGAGTTGATAAAAGCTTGTCCTAGTTTCTTGAACCTGCTTTGTAAGAATAAGTCATACTGCATTTTTTCTTTCTATTGTTTCCTTGACGTTTAAAACTATTTGGTATATTTATATTTGCTCTTCTGTGGTTTTCAATAACAGGGAGGATTTTCTTCCCTATCAATCTCTTCATAGGTCCTCAGCAGAGCCAGAGATGTCTATTAATTTCCTCTTTATAATTAGAAATTATAATCTGATAAATTGGTGTCTCAGCATATCCTCTTTTGTGGGTATTTTTCCTGTTGTTTTGAGTTTGATGTTTCCATTCCTTATGCAGTAGTACTGTCGCCTCTCAAGCACTCTCTATGTTTTGACCAATTTCATAATACTTGCTTATTTTCAGGATTGTGGAGTTGATTTCTGATTTACTGGTCTATCTGGATGATTATTTGTTTAGGTAAAAATTGCAGATGTATGTAATGATAATTTAAGAACCTGAAAAGCACATCTAAATTGAAGGCTGACATGTTTTCCTTTTCTTACATTCAACAGGGTCACAGAAATACACTTGACTTTAACAATTCTTGTGTATTTCCCCTTTTCTTAAGACCTGATGTTGTGTATGTTTCACTGAAAAACTTCCTTCACTACTGACCCGTTGCCAAAACTTATTTGTGTAATGTACGGTGGAAGAGAAATCTAAAAGTAATGGCTCCTTCTTGGGAAAAACAAACACTATATGGAATGTCATCACTTCTGCTAAAAAAATTTTTAAAGATTTTTAAGCCACTCATTTATTGTTTGTTTGTCTTCAGGTTATAGCGCATGCCTATTATAGAAAAAATTTAACAATATGGAAAAGTATAAAGAAGAAAAATGTAAGCAGTAATTCCACCACCACTAAAAGGCTACCTGCCATTTCTGTGCAACCCCAAATCTTCTTGAAGCCTTAGCTTAACGACCACCTGCCCTTTTCTAAGTCTTCCTCCTCAGTAGACTGTTTAGGACATTGAGTGGAAGACTGACTTTAAATATAAGGGCCCTTAGGATTTTTATGGAAGGGATGGAGCTGTAGGAAAAACCTACAAATTGCTCCAGAGATGACATCTTGTTCTTATTTAGCTTTCTTTGAGTCATTAACAGTCGGGCGCCACTGGTGCTGAAACTTATCATTATTATAACCACAAATGGGTTAATCCCCAAACAAAGCTATATTCTTGGGGCTGGTTCCCAGCTCCACCACACAGACCCCAACAGCAGCACCCTCCGAGTCCCAGGATAATGCCCCACAAATAAGGGGATGTCAAATGTTCAGCCTGGACTCAAAATTCTCTTCTTTTGTCTGGGAGCTTCCAGTTGCTGGCAGGGCAGAGCAAAAAGAAAAATAAATAAATAAAACCCAAGCCAACAAACCCTAAAAAAAGAGGCTGTGTGGTTTAGCGGTCAGACCACTAGCCTGGAGGTTGAGATCGCTGAGATCCAGTTCCAGCTCTCCCACTGACTGGCTGGATGATGCTAGACAAGTCATTTTCCTGACATGTTCCTCGGTTTCCCTACTTAGAAAAGGGAGAAGTGCATTAGAAAGTTTTATGAGGACAAATGAAATGATCTGAGAATAGCTTCAGGTTGCTTGGAAATAAAATGAAATTGTAATCCTTAATAATTACCGTCCTATTACTTTATTAATAATATAGTAAAAAGCCACAGGTGTGAAAGTTATGAAACTCCCATAACTCTCAAGGTGCATGGGGTAGGGGAGGGGGTGGGAGGCAAGGGTGGAGGTAGAAGGCAAATTTTTTTTATGATATGCAGGACTTCACATCAAATACCAAATTAGTTACCTTATTACCTCAAGATAATAAATGCTGCTCTGAGTTCGGCTCTGTCCCTTTATCCTTACCACATCCAAACTCAGAGTGACTCACCGGAGCCTAGAAATGAGACACATATACAATTTTAAGGGAAACAGAGAATTAGGAGGTTTGAAGCTTCTACTGGAGAAGGCTAAGAATAGACCACTCAGAACACAAAGAGAAGAACCTCCTCTTTCCTTTTTCTCCCAGTGTAGGTGGTCCACTGGTTTCCCAATCATTCCTTTGATAGAATGATTTTTGTTTTCTTTCTTTCCACAAAACCTCACCTCATGTGGGGGGAGAGCTAACTAAAAAAGTGAGGACAGAGTGACCTTTTCTACTATGTTTGAACTGTGACGAGTGGTACACACCACTAAGCCGTTGTTGGGCGTGGAGAGGTGCAAAAAGAGAAATATCCAGATATCTGGGAACTTGAAAACCAATGAACACTCTCCCCTCTTAAAGGAAAAGTGAGCAATTAGGGATATAAGGGAAAAAATCCAATAGGTGTCCTTGTTTGTGCATCCCATCCCCCCAAGAAGTGAAGTGTCTTTGTAAGAAAAAAAAAGAAAAGAAAAGAAAAGACACTTGGGAAGGGTACCAAATAGTAAGGGATAGAAGTAGAAGGAGGGGCTATAAAGATAAAGAGGAATTTGAAAGGAAATGTCAATGAAGTCATAGAGAATTTAATGAGCACTTTCTGGATGCCCAGACTTGTCACAGGCAGAAAAGACACATCCCTGACCTCAAGAAGCAGCCAAGATATACGCACGTGAAAGCACTTTGTAGTAATTTAAGATGATAAATAATAAGGAGATAAAAATAGGTAATGGGATAGCAAATGTTTATGGGAATTTAGGGGTGGGAGCTATTATTGTGACTTAGGATAACAGTTGTATAAAGCAGGAGTAGTTATGAAATTCAGAAATTGCGGGTATATGGAGGGCTGGCAATAATTTTTCGACACCGGGAAATATGATGGTTTCAAAGGAACTCTCCACCTCAAATTCCTCTAAAACCAACGCCTCAAGAAAGCGAGGCCAAAGAAACTATGACCGCCGCGAAGAGGCAGCTCCCGGAACAAGTGTGGCCAGCTCGGCGTTGCGATACGGAGACTGTTTGCGTGACACCCTCTCCGCCTCTAGCCTCTCCTCCCGCAGCGTGGGTGCCATGGCAACAGAGAGAGCCCTCGACCTGGCTTCCGGAAGCGGGAGAGCTGGAGCTCTGAAGCTACCCTGGTCAAAGGATGCTGAGTCCGGAACGCCTAGCCCTACCGGACTACGAATATCTGGGTAGGCGCTTCCTTCAGCTTCGGGGAAGGAAAGAAGTGCAGACGAATTAGGCCAGGGTTTGGGGAGGAGGCCGGGTCGAGGTCTGAGTGGGAACGGGTAGGGTGGGCTAGGGAGGGGCGGGGTGGGGGCGGTCCAGGGCCTGAACTTGTAAGGCCCAGCGAGGAGGAAAACACCATCTGGGAGTAAAGAATGCTGAAGTGTACCCACTGGAGCTCAGACAGTGTGGATTGTGCCCTAAGTGGGCTAGGTTGGAGTTGAGAATTGAGGGGCCTTTGGGGGTATTACTGATATGCTGCCAGTGGAGTAACCTTGGAACCTTGAAGTGCCAAATCAGTCATTCTGTGAACAATCATTTAACCGTTATAGCGGCAACTAACATTTTTGAGCATTTCTTTTACATCAGGCACTATGCTAAGCATTTTACGTGCATTCTTTATTGAATCTTCATAACAGCCCCAGGAGGAGACTGTGTTTTTCTTCCATTTTGCAGACAGCGAAACTGAGGCCGAAGAGGTGACTTGCACCACCTCTTATAAGGCCACACAGCTATAAAATGGTAGGACTAGGATCAGAACCTAATTTGCCCACTCCTGAGCTTGAGCTCTTGGCCATTAAGGCTGTGGCTGTAATACTTTACACACACTGTAACACCTTCAGTGTGTAAGGCATTTACTGGATGAAAAAAGGATATATATATATTGTGTGTATGTATGTATATACATGTATATACATACATGTATGCACACGTTTTAAAAAATTAATAGACTTTATTTTTTAGAGCAATTTTAAGTTTACAGAAAATTGAGCAGATATTATAGAGTGTTCCCATATACTCCCTCTCTCTCTCACTCAGAGCTTCCCATTATTAACATGTGACATTAATACAGTACATTCATTACAATTGATGAACGAATATTGATACATTATTATTAACCAAATTCCACAGTTTACATTAGGGTTCACTCTTTGTGTTGTACAGTTTTATGGGTTTTGACAAATGCATGATGTCATGTATCAACCATTATAGTATTATGCAGAATAGTGTCACTGCCCTGAAAATCCTCTGTGCTCTGTCTATTCATCCTTCCCTCGGTCCCCCAACCACTGGCAACCATTCATCTTTTTACTGTCTCTAAAGTTTTACATTTCCAGAATGTCATATAGTTGGAGTCATAGAGTACGTAACCTTTTCAGACTGGCTTTTTTCACTGAGCAACATGCGTTTAAGGTCCCCCCATGTCTTTTCCTGGCTTGATAGTTCATTTCTTTTTATCATTGAATAATATTCAATTGTATGGATGTACTATACACATTTTTTTTTTTTTTTTTGCAGTACGCGGGCCTCTCACTCTTGTGGCCTCTCCTGTTGCGGGGCACAGGTTACGGACGCGCAGGCTCAGCAGCCATGGCTCATGGGCCCAGCCGCTCCGCGGCGTGTGGGATCTTCCCGGACCGGGGCACAAACCCTTGTCCCCTGCATTGGCAGGCGGACTCTCAACCACTGTGCCACCAGGGAAGCCCTATACACATTTTTTAATGAAAAACAATTCTAGTTTAAATTTTTGAATTAGTAATATGGAAACTAGATTAAAAAACATAAAGAAGTTTATAATGAAAAGTCTCTTCCAACCCCTTTTCCCCCATCTGCCAGTTTCCAACCATCCTCAGCCCCCCACTAGTAACCACTATTACTGGTTTCCTGTGTATCCTTCCAGAGTTGAGTTTATTAGGTATATAAGGGAGAATACACTTTTTTCATTCAATATATCTCAGAGTGATTTCTGTGTCAGTGAGAGCTTTCTCATTCTTTTAAAAAAATGTTTAGCTACATAGTATTTTAAATAATTTATTTGACCAATTCTCTGTTGGTACACATGTTGTTTTTAGCCTTTTGCTATTACTGAAAATACCCCACTGAATAACCTGTAATTTTGTGCCATTGCTAGTATATCTGCAAGGATAAATTCCACAAAGTGAAATTGGTGGGTCAGGGACCTATGCATTTTAAATATTGATAGATATTGCCAAATCGTCTTTCACAGGGGTTGTACCATTTTACACTGCACTAGCAATGTAAGAGTATGCCTATTTCCCCATAGTCTTTCCAACAAAGTATATCGAACTCGAACCATCAGATTTTTTCAACCTGTTAAGTGACAAATAGTCCCAGGGTAGATTTAATGTGCATTTCTTTTCTGAAGTTGAGCATCTTTTCACCAGGTTTAAGGGCTGTGTAGTTTTTGAAAGGTGTATATATATATAGAGAGAGAGAGAGAGAGAGAGCGAGAGCATTGTTATATCACAGATAATTTTGCATCCAATGAATAAGAATGTCAATGTCTAACAATGCCTAGACTTTTGCTAAGGATTTTATGTATTTTATCTTATTTACTCAGTACTAATCTATGAAATATTTGAAAAGCCTAGTGTATTGTTCACTTCCTTGGATGTTTGCGTCAAAGTCTTAACATATTTAAATTATATGCCTCAAAGGCTTGACATATTTAATATACCGGTGCTTTGGTGAGTAGAAGTTGGTGGTCCCTCCAAAAGTGGCTTTTTACAGCCACTAATTCAGTGGCAATGTTGATAATAAATCTATAAACAGAATCAAGATTTCAGGTTGGTTGTAAAAGCTTCAGTTTCTAACCACTTATCTAATTATTGAACCCTGGATTATTGAACCTCCTTCAGGTTCTGTTGCATATTTAAGTGCCTTAACTCCCTGTCCCATTCACCATCTGGACGTTCATACTGCCCTAAGCAGGGTCATACTACTCATTGGCTTCCTCATGGTTCCTCAGACCATACAACTCTGCTGAAATGCATTTGTCTTTAGTTGAGAACAACCCTGCCCATTACAGTTTGGTCTCTTTTAGAGGCATGCTGTTGCTGTTTCGAAGCATTCACCCTCAATATAATGACCACTGAAAATCACCCCTTATAGATTAATTTAATAAAATATTTTCTGATTTGAAAATTTAAATACCTACAGAGGTTTTTTTTTTTTTAACTTTTTAATTATTTATTTATTTATTTTTTGCGGTACACAGGCCTCTCACTGTTGTGGCCTCTCCCGTTGCGGAGCACAGGCTCCGGACGCGCAGGCTCAGCAGCCATGGCTCACGGGCCCAGCCACTCCACGGCATGTGGGATCTTCCCGGACCGGGGCACGAACCCGTGTCCCTTGCATCGGCAAGGCAGACTCTCAACCACTGCGCCACCAGGGAAGCCCCAGGGGTTATTTTTGGCTTGACTTTTCTTCCTCCTCCTCTCCTTCTCCTCCTCCTTCTCCTTCTTTTTTTTTTAAATAAGTTATAAAGTCACATGTGTAGGCCTAGAGAAGAAAATACACATAGAAAAAAGAAAATTGCATAGATAGGAAAGCTCTAGGTTTTCAGTGCATCAGAAAAGTGAAAGCTCAATATCCCTTGGTAAGTGTGTCTGGAGACCTCTTTTTAGTATTATGGTATAAACGACAGGGATACCTATTCAGTGAATATCCATAGATTTTCCCTTCTGCCTGCTAGCCAGGGCTTATATTTGCCTTTTTGACTACTAGTGAAGAAAACAGTCTTTCATCCTGTTGGGTAAACTGATCCATTCCCTGCTGACTTTGTGGATTAGGAACCTGTAATCATGGCCTGGAATGGCTTAGGATCTTAAGATCATCATTACAGAACTGACTCCATGATGTTCATGCCTGCAGTCATCAGAATGGAGTGATAGGAACTATGTTAATGCCCAGGCGTGAATAGAGAGAGAGGAGAGTCTGGTAAGGAGATGAAATAAATATAGAGCCCTTGAAAGGTTTCCACTTTATGAAAGCTACTTATTGGAAGCTTCTGCCAGAGGCTGAGGTGTGTCTGTGTATCTGGTTGGGTGTGGAGAGTTCTCTAGAGCTGAAGGGCAGCCTGTTCTGGTCCCAGGTTTGCAAAACACACTACCTACGTGCTGACCTGAGTGTAAGCATGAGGGTGTGAGGTTTATTATTTTACCCCACCTAAATTGGTGAGGTGCTTGCTTTCACTCACGCTTCAATTTGCCCCTTCTGTTTCTATGGGTACTGCTTATTCTCACTAAGACTGGTAGTGGATTGGCATAATAGATAACTCCAGGAAATCCGAGATGGTCTTTCTCCTTTGAGGGCTATAGTTTTAGAGGAATCACAATAAACTGGACAGTTATTTTTAAGCTATAGTTTTTGAGCACTTCATTTATGCTTAGCACTGTGCCTTAACTCATTTAATCTTCACAACCACCATACAGTTAGGTGTTATTATTAGTCCTATTTAGTAGTTATTAATATCGTCTCCTCATTTTACAAATAAGGAAACTGAGGCTTAGAAAGGCTAATTGATTTGTACAAAGTCACATAGGTGATGATGCTTAAAAGCAGGGATTCAAATCCAGGTTTATCGGATTCCACGCCTGTTTTTTCCTCTCTACCAAGAAGATAAAAATAAACAAACCAAAATATCTATTGCCTGTAAAGGGTAGTGATCCTTGCTTCCCTTTTAAGAATGGAGTTCTTAAACAGTTCATTAGTTGCAAATCAGTTTCCTGAACACAGGAATTGTATCTTTCTCATCATTGTATGTATATGTATGTATATGTATGTATCTCATCATTTTGTATGTATATACATTGTATGTATACCTTTCACAATCTAGACACTTTATACATACATGTGTGTTAAATTGAATATGAATAATCTGACCTTAGGGTCCCCCAAATGTGAGCAGCTAACAGCAATAACTAAGACTTATTAAGTACTTACTATGTACCAGGTAACATTTTATGTGCTTTATAAACATTAATGCACACGAAGATAGTTTCAATTTTTATCTCCATTTCACATATGAGGAAACTACAGCACAAAGGTATTAAATAACTAGTTAGTGAGTCCTAGAGGCAGAATTCCAATCTAGCAGTCTGACTCCAGAGTCCACATTGTTAAACTCCATGCAATGAATACCTTGAGCAACTCCAACAATGAG